AGGAAGACCCCCAATGAGATGGATTGGCCAGGTGGCATCATTGATGGACTCAAGTGTAGCAGTGGTGGTGAGGTTGGCCCAGGATCGGACATTGTTTCATTCTGCTGTGCATGGGGTCGCTATGAGTCGGTTCCGACTCGATGGCACCTGACAACAACAACAATAACAATACTGCTGAACTGGTTTCAGCAGAGTTTCCAGACTGCCTGATTAGGAAGAAAATCTTAACAACCTACTTCCAAAAATCAGTCAGTGGGGATGTATGGATCACGGCTCTCGAATCTGGACCCTATGAGAGGGTTGGTACCTTTGTCCTATGTGTTGAGTTGCTGTGCCTTGGGGAATGATGCAACAGCTCCTTAGACTATTAGTTAGGGACGGAGATGCACTGCAGACTGTAATAAGCTCCTGAGAGGAGTGCTTGGTAGAGCCACTTTGGAGAGCTAAAAAACAAAACCTGGTGTTGTCCAGCTGATTCTGACTCATGGCAGGCAGCCCATGTGTTACAGAGCAGAACTTTTCCACAGGGTTTTCTTCACCTAATATTTTCAGAAGCAAATCACCAGACCTTTCTTCTGTGGGATGGCTGGGTGGGTTCGAACTGCCAGCCTTTAGGTTTGTAGTCAAGCACAAACTGTGGCACCCTGGGACCAATCGAAGAACAAAGATCTAGAAAACCAAAGAACTGCATCTACGTCATGTTCCATCAATTCTATATCCTACTACCTAAATTAGAGAACTCTTCATGTACAGTGTGAAGGCATGTAGAAAGTCATTCGAGGAGTATTCCCTGTAATGTCGTGGTGGTGGAAAGTGGCGTCGAGTCAGTTCTGACCCATTGTGACCCCATATAGGGTTTCTGAGGAACAGCTGGTGAGCTTGAACTCCAGACCCTATGGTTCCAGCAGACTTGACAGCTCAGCGCATTAACTCACAGAGCCACACACCAGGTCTCCACACACTACTCCTTGTGATTGCAAACTGGAAATAACCTAAATTCCCACTAGCTCGAAATGGTCAAATATTCTGTTATTTACATACAGTAGAATCTGTTATAAGATTTTTTAAAATATTATCTGCTTGGACTTTAAAAAAAGCAAGTTGCAGAATAAACACCAAAGATTTGTGGCCTTGGAAAGTCTGTAAGTGTAGCTATGACCTGTAACCAGCTCGGTGGCACTTAATAACTATTTATTGATGGATCATGACAAGCTATAGGTAATAATGCAAAGAATAGGTATTCCAGAACACTTAATTGTGCTCATGGGTAAGTGGTACATAGACCAAAAAGCAGTTGTTTGAGCAGAACAAGGGGATGCTGAATGGTTTAAAATTAGGAAACATGTGCACCAAGTTTGTATTCTTTCCCCATACTGGATTATATGAAGAAGATTGTGGTATCAGGATTGGAGGAAGACTGATGAACAACCTACAATATGCAAATGATACAACCTTATTTGCTGAAAGCGAAGAGGACTTAAAACACTGACGAAGATAAAAGAATACAGCTTTCAGTATGTATAACAACTCAACATAAAGAAAACAAAAATCCTCACAACTGGACCATTAAATAACATCATGGTAAATGGAGAAGTGATTGAAGTTGTCAAAAACTTCATTTTGCTTAGATCCACAATCAACACTCAGGCAAGCAGCAGTCAAGAAATCAATGTATTGCATTAGGCAAATCTGCTGCACAAGACCTCTTTGAAGTGTTCAAGAGCAAAGATGTCAGTTTGAGGACTAAGGTGCACCTGACCCAAGTAGTGTCATTTTCAGTTGCCTCAAATGCATGTGAAAATTGAACAGTGAATAATGAAGAGCATAGAAGAATTGATGAATTTGAGTTATGGTATTGGAGAAGAATATTGAAAGTACCATGGATGCCAGAAGAACAAACAGATCTGGGGTGAAAGAAGTGCAGCCAGAGTGCTCCTTAGATGCCAGGATGGTGAGACTTTGTCTCTCATACTTCAGACATGTTTTCAGGAGTGACCAACCCCTGGTAAAGTGGAGGGTTAGCAAAGAAGAGGAAGACCCCCAACAAGATGGACTGGTACCGTGGCAACAGCAGTGGGCTGAAGCATTGTGAGGACGGTGCTGGACTGGGCAGTATTTTGTTCTGTTGTGCATAGGGTCTCTGTAAGTCAACGTTAGCTCAACAGCACCTAACATCAACAACAACTATTCATTTATACATTAAAACATTTTCAGTACTGCATCCCTGGCTAATTGGCATAACAGTACCACACTAAGACGGTGTCTTAGTGTGGTACTGTATGATAAGCACTGGACTTCTAACTGTAAGGTCAGTGGTTCAAAGTAGCTATGAGTCAGAAATGACTGGATGACACTTCAGGACAACAACAAATCCACAAAGACAATATTTTACATCCTACTTCAGTGAGTCACGACTGGGATCTTAAAAGCTCATGAGTGGCCATCTAAGGTGCAACTATTGGTCTCGACTTGTCTGGAGAAAGGAAAAGTGATGAAAATGGAAGATGTTTGGAAACAGTTAGGCCAATGGACTAATGGAAGCCATGAACATCAGTCCCCATGACCCTGAAACCAGAAGAACTAGATGGTGTCTGACTACCACTGCCAACTGCTCTGAAAGGGCTCACATGAGAAGGTCCTGTATAGAGTGAGAGAAAATGTGGGAAAAACTCATAATCATGACTAAAACGAGATTTACTGCTAAGACTGAGACTGCTAGAACCCCAAGACTATGGCCCTTCGTCACACCTGTGACTCAATTTTCAGCCAAGCATTACATAGATATATGAGAGGACAACAACACTAACGAGGTATGCACACCTTAGAAAGGTCAACTATTTGAAATCAAAAGGGCAGTATCTACCTAAGGACAAAATCCAGAAAGATTGGGAAAGAAGGAGGAATGGAAAGGGGAAACACAGTGTAGAAGCAGGCTGGGTGATCAGCACTGAGAGATGATCAATTATTAAGAGGAAACCAAATGTGTAATTTGTTGGATGTAAAACTGAATCTGCTCCATAAACCTTCACTCAGTT